AAAGGAAAAGATCCATGCCCCAACGATAAGTTTGTCTTTCTTTTTTAGTTATTGATCTTGGTAACATTTAAAAATTGTGTAGTTTCATGGTTTCTTTTCCTTCAGTATAATTGCTTTCGGATTCGACCTTTCATATATATATGCTTTTGTGTGTCCTTTACCCCAAAAGCTCATCCATAGTTTGATTTGCTTGTAAGTTAACTCTTTTCACATGTTAGATTATCTAGATATTCAATATGTTCCTCTCTCTCTCTCTCTCACTCTCTCCCTCTCTCTCTCTCTCTTTGTCTCATAGGGCATTGCAGATATGGTGCAGATCTGGCAAGGCAGCTGACAGACTCATTGAAGAGTGTTCTTCAGACATGTGGGAGCCTCAGAATATCATTTTCTCGTCGAACTCCAAAGATTGTTTGTAATTTATCTGGTTTTTATATTATGTAATTCATCTGATAAGGCTAAATTCTTACCTATACCATGACAAACAGATAATGGACGTCATTACGGATGAATTGTCAGACCATCCTAAAGTCTATATATGGAATGGTGAAGGTAATAAAAGATGATTCTGATTGCTTTGTCTTGCATAATCACTTACAGAAAGCCAGAAAGATGTTGCTAGGGTTCTTTTAGAAGCTGGCTTCACTTCAAGTCACTACTGTAGGAAAACTATAATGTTAATGAAATTTCAGGAAACCTCCCAAATCACTCCTTTAGATGTCTTAACTCGATCACGGCATTATTCTGTTTTACTGTTTTATGTTTTCATTTTTGTCTTTCGTGGCATTAACCGAATGCATCTTTTATTCAGATCCAAATCCACACATGTGGCATTTAGCTTTGGCTGATGCTTTCGTCATCACGGCTGATTCAGTAAGCATGTTAAGTGAGGCCTGCAGCACTGGGTATGTACAGTATATCTACAATATATATCAAAATATTTATCTCTGTGTGTGTGTGTGTGTGTTTTCTTCTTCTTCTTCTTTCTTTTTTATTTATTTATTTATTTATTTATTTTTTCCTTCTTTGCATTACACATTTGGAACTCTCAGGAAGCCTGTATACGTAATTGGTGCTGAGCGGTGCACATGGAAATTCTCTCATTTTCTCAAAACCCTGCAGAGAAGAGGAGCCGTTAGACCATTCACTGGTAAAGAAAAGGCGAGAGCACCTGCTAAATCTCAACTGTCCTTTTTTGCAATTCTTGATATTTTAAATTATTATAAGAGAGGGAACAAAATGAAAAACAATCTTCCTGCAGAGTCGAATCTTACTGTCGTGACTATTCTAAAATTCTAACGACTTTTATAGCGAAACGCAATTTTGATGCTTAAGTTCGGACAAATGTTTATTTATTGTGCCTCTGAATATCCAGATTTCAGATAAATGGCTCTATACCCCACTGAATGACACTGAAAATGCAGCCGATGAAGTGATTAAGGCTCTTGCAGAACGTGGGTGGAAATTGATGCCTCATTGAGTTAACGGATATAGGCTCGAGCCTCGTTTGTGATTTTTCCTACAAAACCGGGAAAACAATTTGTCGTTCTGTATTGAAAGCCTGTACACAATACTTATAAAATCGACATGGTTGATCGGGATTCACCTTGCGTTGGCTTCCGCAAAATGAAATCTAATGTTTTGTCTCCATTTTTTCATTCTGTTTTCATGTACTATATGTCCTAATGCAAACTATGTCATTGTGCTAAGAACTCTTTAACGTTGTGTAACAACGTATGCAGCACTTTGCTCTTTGGTGGATTAGTTAAAATACGTTAGTTGAGTAATCACTTGAACGTTGTTTCATTCCCTTTATTTTTCATGCTATATTTGTGTTTTACCGAATAAAATAAATAAAAAACGAGAAGGATAAAGTGATTAGTGATAGTTTCTTTTGAGGATGTGATTGTGGAGTTGTATTCCTTTCGGATCTTGAGTGACATTTTGGAACATTTTGATATTTGAGATTTTGTAAGATTTTCATATTTAAAAGGAACCTTATGAAATCTGTTTGGAGCTCTTATGAAACCTTAAGTTTGGAGCTCAAATTAATCCAATACTTTGAACTTTTAAAAACACACACACACACACACAGACACAAAANACAAAAAAAAAAAACAAACATTTAATTTAAAGTTTGTATCACCTAGTCCACCCTTGATATAATATATCTATCCTCATCTGCCCCAAATGCAGAAAGGGGTCAAATTATAATTTTTAACCTAAACCAAAATGGCTAACAGCAACCACTCTTCTTGCTCCATTACCTTTACACTACATCACAATATATTTTAAAATTTTCAACCCACCCAACCAAAAAAACTCATTTCAACAATTACATGCCATCACTGTATATATATATATACACAAGCCATCTTCAATCTTCATATCTCTCCATCACAAGCTTAACTTCCCACACAAACAAGCAAATATCACAACACAAACCTTAAAAAAGCTAATTCCAACTTTTCTCCTTCAACCCCTCTTCAGTTTCTTGATATTAACAAGGAAAAAAAAAAGAAAATGGAGAAAAACGAGTCGAGCGCCATTGAAATTGCAGAATCGAGCAAAGAAAGAAAGGGAAAAGCACCCCTACTTGCAGCAGCAGTCGGGCATGATAGGGCAGCAGGGTACAAAAGAGGTGTCTCGATTTTCGACCTCATATTGCGTATAAGTGCTGCTACTGCAGCTTTAGCGGCCACCATTGTTATGGGGACAACAGAGCAGACTCTTCCGTTTTTCACACAGTTCTTTCAGTTCCGGGCACAATACGATGATCTGCCGACTTTCACGTCAGTATTTTTTTTTTTATCTAGCTGGACTTACTAGTTTTATTTTATTTTATTTTTTTCAATTGAAAAGGCAAAGGAAATACATTTTCTGTACATGTGCAGGTTTTTTGTGGTGGGCATGGCTATAGTTACTGGCTACCTTATTTTGTCTGTGCCCCTCTCCATCGTGTGCATTGCTCGTCCGGTTGCTATTGGACCTCGTTTTCTTCTCATCGTCTGTGACACAGTAAGCAAAATAAATTTAGAAAGAAAATACAGAAAAAAAGGAATATTTCTCTCCATATTATTATTACTCCCTCAAATTTGAAAATAAGTTTCAATTAAAAACAAATAAGGGGTGTTTGCTATTTTCATGAAAGATTATAATCTCAAAAGATTACAAGACTGTTCTATACAATAAGACAGTTACCCAAGAACCAGCCTACCTTAACCTATTATATAAGCTTCAGATTTCAAGTTCAACTGCAAAGTTTTGTTCAGGTGACAAACTAGGTGAAATGAAAAATCTGAACAGAACAATAATATATAGAGTGTGTTTTGTAAGCATCATAAGCTAGCTTATAGCTTATTTGGGCAGCTTCTAATCTTTTGCATATAAATAAGCCTGATGTGGTAGCTCGAACTTATCTCGTAAGCTTCTTTGGGTAGCTTTTCAAATAAGCCCATTGAAATTTTTATTTCAGCTAGCTATTAACTAATTTTACCAAACACTTCTATCATATCAACTAGTTTTTCAGCCGTTAGTCATAAGCTATCAACTATAAGCTCGAAATTCACTTAGAAGCTATCAACAAGCTTATCACCTAATTTTACTAAACATAGCCATAATATTTGGACAGTAAAAAGCCAAAATCTTGAAATAGGTTCACATAATTTTCTTGCAGGTAACGGCAGTTTTGGCTACCTCGGCTGCTGGTTCATCGGCAGCCATAGTTTACTTGGCCCATAACGGGAACTCGGATGCCAATTGGCTGGCCATATGCCAACAGTTTAATGACTTCTGTCAGAGGGTCAGTGGAGCTGTGGTGGCAGCTTTTGTGGCGGTGGTTCTGCTCATATTCTTGGTTGTGCTTTCGGCTATGGCTCTAAAGAAACACTGAAAATGAAAATTACTGAGTGCACATTTATCTGAAAGTGAATGTCGTGTTGTCTTTCTCCTTCTTT